CTGTCTTCATGATCTTGTCATATCCCTGTCTTCATGATCTTGTCATATCCCTGTCTTCATAATCTTGTCATATCCCTGTCTTCATGATCTTGTCATATCCCTGTCTCCTGTCTTCATGATCTTGTCATATCCCTGTCTTCATGATCTTGTCATATCCCTGTCTTCATGATCTTGTCATATCCCTGTCTTCATGATCTTGTCATATCCCTGTCTTCATGATCTTGTCATATCCCTGTCTTCATGATCTTGTCATATCCCTGTCTTCATGATCTTGTCATATCCCTGTCTTCATGATCTTGTCATATCCCTGTCTTCATAATCTTGTCATATCCCTGTCTTCATGATCTTGTCATATCCCTGTCTTCATGATCTTGTCATATCCCTGTCTTCATAATCTTGTCATATCCCTGTCTCCTGTCTTCATGATCTTGTCATATCCCTGTCTCCTGTCTTCATGATCTTGTCATATCCCTGTCTTCATGATCTTGTCATATCCCTGTCTCCTGTCTTCATGATCTTGTCATATCCCTGTCTTCATGATCTTGTCATATCCCTGTCTTCATGATCTTGTCATATCCCTGTCTTCATGATCTTGTCATATCCCTGTCTTCATGATCTTGTCATATCCCTGTCTTCATGATCTTGTCATATCCCTGTCTTCATAATCTTGTCATATCCCTGTTTTCATGATCTTGTCATATCCCTGTCTCCTGTCTTCATGATCTTGTCATATCCCCGTCTTCATGATCTTGTCATATCCCTGTCTCCTGTCTTCATGATCTTGTCATATCCCTGTCTTCATGATCTTGTCATATCCCTGTCTCCTGTCTTCATGATCTTGTCATATCCCTGTCTTCATGATCTTGTCATATCCCTGTCTCCTGTCTTCATGATCTTGTCATATCCCTGTCTTCATGATCTTGTCATATCCCTGTCTCCTGTCTTCATGATCTTGTCATATCCCTGTCTCCTGTCTTCATGATCTTGTCATATCCCTGTCTCCTGTCTTCATGATCTTGTCATATCCCTGTCTTCATGATCTTGTCATATCCCTGTCTTCATGATCTTGTCATATCCCTGTCTTCATAATCTTGTCATATCCCTGTGTCCTGTCTTCATGATCTTGTCATATCCCGGTCTCCCGTCTTCATGATCTTGTCATATCCCTGTCTTCATGATCTTGTCATATCCCTGTCTTCATGATCTTGTCATATCCCTGTCTTCATGATCTTGTCATATCCCTGTCTTCATGATCTTGTCATATCCCTGTCTTCATGATCTTGTCATATCCCTGTCTTCATGATCTTGTCATATCCCTGTCTTCATGATCTTGTCATATCCCTGTCTCCTGTCTTCATAATCTTGTCATATCCCTGTCTTCATGATCTTGTCATATCCCTGTCTCCTGTCTTCATAATCTTGTCATATCCCTGTCTTCATAATCTTGTCATATCCCTGTCTTCATGATCTTGTCATATCCCTGTCTTCATGATCTTGTCATATCCCTGTCTTCATGATCTTGTCATATCCCTGTCTTCATGATCTTGTCATATCCCTGTCTCCTGTCTTCATAATCTTGTCATATCCCTGTCTCCTGTCTTCATGATCTTGTCATATCCCTGTCTCCTGTCTTCATAATCTTGTCATATCCCTGTCTCCTGTCTTCATGATCTTGTCATATCCCTGTCTCCTGTCTTCATAATCTTGTCATATCCCTGTTTTCATGATCTTGTCATATCCCTGTCTCCTGTCTTCATAATCTTGTCATATCCCTGTTTTCATGATCTTGTCATATCCCTGTCTTCATGATCTTGTCATATCCCTGTCTTCATGATCTTGTCATATCCCTGTCTTCATGATCTTGTCATATCCCTGTCTCCTGTCTTCATAATCTTGTCATATCCCTGTCTTCATGATCTTGTCATATCCCTGTCTTCATGATCTTGTCATATCCCTGTCTTCATAATCTTGTCATATCCCTGTCTTCATGATCTTGTCATATCCCTGTCTTCATGATCTTGTCATATCCCTGTCTTCATAATCTTGTCATATCCCTGTCTTCATGATCTTGTCATATCCCTGTCTCCTGTCTTCATGATCTTGTCATATCCCTGTCTTCATGATCTTGTCATATCCCTGTCTCCTGTCTTCATGATCTTGTCATATCCCTGTCTTCATGATCTTGTCATATCCCTGTCTTCATGATCTTGTCATATCCCTGTCTTCATGATCTTGTCATATCCCTGTCTTCATGATCTTGTCATATCCCTGTCTTCATGATCTTGTCATATCCCTGTCTTCATAATCTTGTCATATCCCTGTTTTCATGATCTTGTCATATCCCTGTCTCCTGTCTTCATGATCTTGTCATATCCCCGTCTTCATGATCTTGTCATATCCCTGTCTTCATGATCTTGTCATATCCCTGTCTTCATAATCTTGTCATATCCCTGTCTTCATGATCTTGTCATATCCCTGTCTTCATGATCTTGTCATATCCCTGTCTTCATAATCTTGTCATATCCCTGTCTTCATGATCTTGTCATATCCCTGTCTCCTGTCTTCATGATCTTGTCATATCCCTGTCTTCATGATCTTGTCATATCCCTGTCTCCTGTCTTCATGATCTTGTCATATCCCTGTCTTCATGATCTTGTCATATCCCTGTCTTCATGATCTTGTCATATCCCTGTCTTCATGATCTTGTCATATCCCTGTCTTCATGATCTTGTCATATCCCTGTCTTCATGATCTTGTCATATCCCTGTCTTCATAATCTTGTCATATCCCTGTTTTCATGATCTTGTCATATCCCTGTCTCCTGTCTTCATGATCTTGTCATATCCCCGTCTTCATGATCTTGTCATATCCCTGTCTCCTGTCTTCATGATCTTGTCATATCCCTGTCTTCATGATCTTGTCATATCCCTGTCTCCTGTCTTCATGATCTTGTCATATCCCTGTCTTCATGATCTTGTCATATCCCTGTCTCCTGTCTTCATGATCTTGTCATATCCCTGTCTTCATGATCTTGTCATATCCCTGTCTCCTGTCTTCATGATCTTGTCATATCCCTGTCTCCTGTCTTCATGATCTTGTCATATCCCTGTCTCCTGTCTTCATGATCTTGTCATATCCCTGTCTTCATGATCTTGTCATATCCCTGTCTTCATGATCTTGTCATATCCCTGTCTTCATAATCTTGTCATATCCCTGTGTCCTGTCTTCAAGATCTTGTCATATCCCGGTCTCCCGTCTTCATGATCTTGTCATATCCCTGTCTTCATGATCTTGTCATATCCCTGTCTTCATGATCTTGTCATATCCCTGTCTTCATGATCTTGTCATATCCCTGTCTTCATGATCTTGTCATATCCCTGTCTTCATGATCTTGTCATATCCCTGTCTTCATGATCTTGTCATATCCCTGTCTTCATGATCTTGTCATATCCCTGTCTCCTGTCTTCATAATCTTGTCATATCCCTGTCTTCATGATCTTGTCATATCCCTGTCTCCTGTCTTCATAATCTTGTCATATCCCTGTCTTCATAATCTTGTCATATCCCTGTCTTCATGATCTTGTCATATCCCTGTCTTCATGATCTTGTCATATCCCTGTCTTCATGATCTTGTCATATCCCTGTCTTCATGATCTTGTCATATCCCTGTCTCCTGTCTTCATAATCTTGTCATATCCCTGTCTCCTGTCTTCATGATCTTGTCATATCCCTGTCTCCTGTCTTCATAATCTTGTCATATCCCTGTCTCCTGTCTTCATGATCTTGTCATATCCCTGTCTCCTGTCTTCATAATCTTGTCATATCCCTGTCTCCTGTCTTCATGATCTTGTCATATCCCTGTCTTCATGATCTTGTCATATCCCTGTCTTCATGATCTTGTCATATCCCTGTCTCCTGTCTTCATGATCTTGTCATATCCCTGTCTTCATGATCTTGTCATATCCCTGTCTTCATGATCTTGTCATATCCCTGTCTTCATGATCTTGTCATATCCCTGTCTTCATGATCTTGTCATATCCCTGTCTTCATGATCTTGTCATATCCCTGTCTTCATGATCTTGTCATATCCCTGTCTTCATGATCTTGTCATATCCCTGTCTCCTGTCTTCATGATCTTGTCATATCCCTGTCTTCATGATCTTGTCATATCCCTGTCTTCATGATCTTGTCATATCCCTGTCTTCATAATCTTGTCATATCCCTGTCTCCTGTCTTCATAATCTTGTCATATCCCTGTCTCCTGTCTTCATAATCTTGTCATATCCCTGTCTTCATGATCTTGTCATATCCCTGTCTTCATGATCTTGTCATATCCCTGTCTTCATGATCTTGTCATATCCCTGTCTTCATGATCTTGTCATATCCCTGTCTTCATGATCTTGTCATATCCCTGTCTTCATGATCTTGTCATATCCCTGTCTCCTGTCTTCATAATCTTGTCACAGTTTTATCATTTCCTTTGAGTTGTGAATTAGTGAAGGACAAACTGGTCCATTTTTTTATGGCCTCCATCCATTATTTCCTCCCTCACGTTGGCTGGTTGTAACTTTGGTTGAATGATTTAAAGAGTTGAATGATTTGAATAGTTGAATGATTTAAATAGTTGAATGATTTAAATAGTTGAATGATTTAAATAGTTGAATGATTTAAATAGTTGAATGATTTAAATAGTTGAATGATTTAAATAGTTGAATGATTTAAATAGTTGAATGATTTAAATAGTTGAATGATTTAAATAGTTGAATGATTTAAATAGTTGAATGATTTAAATAGTTGAATGATTTAAATAGTTGAATGATTTAAATAGTTGAATGATTTGAGTAGTTGAGTGATTTAAATAGTTGAATGATTTAAATAGTTGAATGATTTAAATAGTTGTATGATTTAAATAGTTGAATGATTTAAATAGTTGAATGATTTGAATAGTTGAATGATTTGAATAGTTGAATGATTTGAATAGTTGAGTGATTTGCTTTCAGCATCTACCTTATTGACCATGCCTGGACGTCGACCTGCAAGGATGCTCATGCTGCATTGACCCTGGTGCCTGGCTTGGTGGAGAGAATGGCTGAGCTGATGGGTCTGGCCACATCCCAGCTGACCAGAGAGGAAATGATAGACGGAGTTTTTCAAACCATGTGGCTGTAAGTCTCCAACCAGCTATATGTGTGTCACTTAACCAGACTTTACTACGTACAGCTAAATGTGTGTCACTTAACCAGACTTTACTACGTACAGCTATATAATATGTGTCAACTAACCAGAGTTTACTTTCTTTCCCTATCCCCTTTCATTTACCAAATCATTATCCCTATAGATTTGTCTATACAATTTCCTTTTCCCTATCGCTATTCCTTTCCCATACCTATTCCTTTAACTCTACTTGTACCTGTACCTATTCCTTTACCAATCATTACCTTCTCTCTTTATCTAAATCAGGGGTCTCCAAACTTTTCAGCCGGAGGGCCGCATTAACTCATATTTTAGTTAACACAAGTCTTAGCTAAATACAGATGTTTCTCATATTTTAGTTAACACAAGTCTTAGCCAAATACAGATGTTTCTCATATTTTAGTTAACACAAGTCTTAGCCTAAATACAGCAATGAAAGTTATAGAATAATGACAATTAAATTGCTACAATACACACAATAATGAAGAAATGTCCTTGAATTCAGTATTTGAAGATGTGAACTGGTTCTGTTAGTTTTTCTTTTCTCTTCAGGTACAATCAGACATATAGCTTTGGTCATGTTAGCAGGGTGAGTGATGTGTCATGTCAGGGTGAGTGATGTGTCATGTCAGGGTGAGTGATGTGTCATGTCAGCAGGGTGAGTGATGTGTCATGTCAGGGTGAGTGATGTGTCATGTCAGCAGGGTGAGTGATGTGTCATGTCAGGGTGAGTGATGTGTCATGTCAGGGTGAGTGATGTGTCATGTCAGGGTGAGTGATGTGTCATGTCAGCAGGGTGAGTGATGTGTCATGTCAGGGTGAGTGATGTGTCATGTCAGGGTGAGTGATGTGTCATGTCAGGGTGAGTGATGTGTCATGTCAGCAGGGTGAGTGATGTGTCATGTCAGGGTGAGTGATGTGTCATGTCAGGGTGAGTGATGTGTCATGTCAGGGTGAGTGATGTGTCATGTCAGGGTGAGTGATGTGTCATGTCAGGGTGAGTGATGTGTCATGTCAGCAGGGTGGGTGATGTGTCATGTCAGCAGGGTGAGTGATGTGTCATGTCAGGGGAGTGATGTGTCATGTCAGGGTGAGTGATGTGTCATGTCAGCAGGGTGAGTGATGTGTCATGTCAGCAGGGTGAGTGATGTGTCATGTCAGGGTGAGTGATGTGTCATGTCAGCAGGGTGAATGATGTGTCATGTCAGCAGGGTGAGTGATGTGTCATGTCAGCAGGGTGAGTGATGTGTCATGTCAGGGGAGTGATGTGTCATGTCAGGGTGAGTGATGTGTCATGTCAGCAGGGTGAGTGATGTGTCATGTCAGCAGGGTGAGTGATGTGTCATGTCAGGGTGAGTGATGTGTCATGTCAGCAGGGTGAATGATGTGTCATGTCAGCAGGGTGAGTGATGTGTCATGTCAGGGTGAGTGATATGTTAGCAGGGTGAGTGATGTGTCATGTCAGCAGGGTGGGTGATGTGTCATGTCAGGGTGAGTGATGTGTCATGTCAGGGTGAGTGATGTGTCATGTCAGGGTGAGTGATGTGTCATGTCAGGGTGAGTGATGTGTCATGTCAGCAGGGTGAGTGATGTGTCATGTCAGCAGGGTGAGTGATGTGTCAGTCAGGGTAAGTGATGTGTCATGTCAGGGTGAGTGATGTGTCATGTCAGCAGGGTGAGTGATGTGTCATGTCAGGGTGAGTGATGTGTCATGTCAGGGTGAGTGATGTGTCATGTCAGGGTGAGTGATGTGTCATGTCAGGGTGAGTGATGTGTCATGTCAGCAGGGTGAGTGATGTGTCATGTCAGGGTGAGTGATGTGTCATGTCAGGGTGAGTGATGTGTCATGTCAGGGTGAGTGATGTGTCATGTCAGCAGGGTGAGTGATGTGTCGTGTCAGCAGGGTGAGTGATGTGTCATGTCAGGGTGAGTGATGTGTCATGTCAGCAGGGTGAGTGATGTGTCATGTCAGGGTGAGTGATGTGTCATGTCAGCAGGGTGAGTGATGTGTCATGTCAGGGTAAGTGATGTGTCATGTCATGTTGAGTGATGTGTCATGTCAGGTGAGTGATGTGTCATGTCAGGGTGAGTGATGTGTCATGTCAGCAGGGTGAGTGATGTGTCATGTCAGGGTGAGTGATGTGTCATGTCTACTTCCACAATTGTGCACTTGTTTTTTGTCATTTATTTGTACAACATGCTGGGTAAACTGAAGGCAAGAATTACATAGTAAAATATGAAATAGTTGATATATTCCACCTAAACATTGCTCTTTTCAAAGGTAATCAATAGCCTTCATACCAAAACAATATCCATCATTAACTAATCATTATATTGAGAAAAAAATATGAAAAGAAAAAACTTTGATGAGATGGCGCCAATTAAAAAAGGGAGAAAAATACAAAGACATAGAGCTTTGACTACGTAGCCATCATATAATAAACATGTAAAAAAATCATTTTTAGCTACCCATAAATCTTGTTAGATTGAAAAACTTGTATGTTCCTTATCTTGTATGTTTAATATATCTTGTATAGAAAAGTAAAAACGTGTATGTTCTTTATCTTGTATGTTTAATATATCTTGTATAGAAAAGTAAAAACGTGTATGTTCTTTATCTTGTATCTTTAATATATCTTGTATAGAAAAAACTCCATTTTGTAGGGTTCAGATGATTCCATCCCAAAATGGTATATCATGGATGAGTTTGGCAGTCGTGTCCGACACTCTGATAGACCCACTGTTAGGATAGCTCCCTTTTTTAATGCTGACACAGGCCTGGCATATTCAGTCCTCTGGCCTATCAGAGAGATGGAAGATGGAGGTTTGTTGCTACATTGACAGGGGGCAGTTTGATGAATGCAGTCACTCTTACTTTTGTGTACATGTGCCTGTCACTTGTCCCATATGAAACATGTGCCTGTCACTTGTACATGCCTGTCACTTGTATGTGCCTGTCACTTGTATGTGCCTGTCACTTGTATGTGCCTGTCACTTGTATGTGCCTGTCACTTGTATGTTCCTGTCACTTGTATGTGCCTGTCACTTGTACATGCCTGTCACTTGTATGTGCCTGTCACTTGTATGTGCCTGTCACTTGTATGTGCCTGTCACTTGTATGTGCCTGTCACTTGTATGTGCCTGTCACTTGTGTGTGCCTGTCACTTGTACGTGCCTGACACTTGTATGTGCCTGTCACTTGTCCCATATGAAACATGTGCCTGTCACTTGTACATGCCTGTCACTTGTATGTGCCTGTCACTTGTGTGTGCCTGTCACTTGTATGTGCCTGTCACTTGTATGTGCCTGTCACTTGTATGTGCCTGTCACTTGTATGTGCCTGTCACTTGTATGTGCCTGTCACTTGTATGTGCTTGTCACTTGTATGTGCCTGTCACTTGTCCCATATAAAACATGTGCCTGTCACTTGTGTGTGCCTGTCACTTGTATGTGCCTGTCACTTGTATGTGCCTGTCACTTGTATGTGCCTGTCACTTGTATGTGCCTGTCACTTGTGTGTGCCTGTCACTTGTACGTGTCTGTCACTTGTGTGTGCCTGTCACTTGTATGTGCCTGTCACTTGTATGTGCCTGTCACTTGTATGTGCCTGTCACTTGTCACTTGTATGTGCCTGTCACTTGTATGTGCCTGTCACTTGTATGTGCCTGTCACTTGTATGTGCCTGTCACTTGTATGTGCCTGTCACTTGTATGTGCCTGTCACTTGTATGTGCCTGTCACTTGTATGTGCCTGTCACTTGTATGTGCCTGTCACTTGTATGTGCCTGTCACTTGTATGTGCCTGTCACTTGTATGTGCCTGTCACTTGTATGTGCCTGTCACTTGTATGTGCCTGTCACTTGTCACTTGTATGTGCCTGTCACTTGTATGTGCCTGTCACTTGTATGTGCCTGTCACTTGTATGTGCCTGTCACTTGTACGTGTCTGTCACTTGTGTGTGCCTGTCACTTGTATGTGCCTGTCACTTGTCACTTGTATGTGCCTGTCACTTGTATGTGCCTGTCACTTGTATGTGCCTGTCACTTGTATGTGCCTGTCACTTGTATGTGCCTGTCACTTGTATGTGCCTGTCACTTGTCACTTGTATGTGCCTGTCACTTGTATGTGCCTGTCACTTGTATGTGCCTGTCACTTGTCACTTGTATGTGCCTGTCACTTGTATGTGCCTGTCACTTGTCACTTGTATGTGCCTGTCACTTGTATGTGCCTGTCACTTGTATGTGCCTGTCACTTGTATGTGCCTGTCACTTGTATGTGCCTGTCACTTGTATGTGCCTGTCACTTGTATGTGCCTGTCACTTGTCCCATATGAAACATGTGCCTGTCACTTGTATGTGTCTGTCACTTGTATGTGTCTGTCACTTGTATGTGCCTGTCACTTGTATGTGCCTGTCACTTGTACGTTCCTGTCACTTGTACGTGCCTGTCACTTGTATGTGCCTGTCACTTGTATGTGCCTGTCACTTGTATGTGCCTGTCACTTGTCACTTGTATGTGCCTGTCACTTGTATGTGCCTGTCACTTGTATGTGCCTGTCACTTGTATGTGCCTGTCACTTGTATGTGCCTGTCACTTGTGTGTGCCTGTCACTTGTATGTGCCTGTCACTTGTACGTGCCTGTCACTTGTACGTGCCTGTCACTTGTATGTGCCTGTCACTTGTATGTGCCTGTCACTTGTATGTGCCTGACACTTGTATGTGCCTGTCACTTGTATGTGCCTGTCACTTGTATGTGCCTGTCACTTGTATGTGCATGTCGCTTGTATGTGTCTGTCACTTGTATGTGCCTGTCACTTGTCACTTGTATGTGCCTGTCACTTGTACGTGCCTGTCACTTGACACTTGTATGTGCCTGTCACTTGTATGTGCCTGTCACTTGTATGTGCCTGTCACTTGTATGTGCCTGTCACTTGTATGTGCCTGTCACTTGTATGTGCCTGTCACTTGTATGTGCCTGTCACTTGTATGTGCCTGTCACTTGTCACTTGTATGTGCCTGTCACTTGTATGTGCCTGTCACTTGTATGTGCCTGTCACTTGTACGTGTCTGTCACTTGTGTGTGCCTGTCACTTGTATGTGCCTGTCACTTGTCACTTGTATGTGCCTGTCACTTGTCACTTGTATGTGCCTGTCACTTGTATGTGCCTGTCACTTGTATGTGCCTGTCACTTGTATGTGCCTGTCACTTGTATGTGCCTGTCACTTGTATGTGCCTGTCACTTGTCACTTGTATGTGCCTGTCACTTGTATGTGCCTGTCACTTGTATGTGCCTGTCACTTGTATGTGCCTGTCACTTGTATGTGCCTGTCACTTGTATGTGCCTGTCACTTGTATGTGCCTGTCACTTGTATGTGCCTGTCACTTGTATGTGCCTGTCACTTGTATGTGCCTGTCACTTGTCCCATATGAAACATGTGCCTGTCACTTGTATGTGTCTGTCACTTGTATGTGTCTGTCACTTGTATGTGCCTGTCACTTGTATGTGCCTGTCACTTGTACGTTCCTGTCACTTGTACGTGCCTGTCACTTGTATGTGCCTGTCACTTGTATGTGCCTGTCACTTGTATGTGCCTGTCACTTGTCACTTGTATGTGCCTGTCACTTGTATGTGCCTGTCACTTGTATGTGCCTGTCACTTGTATGTGCCTGTCACTTGTATGTGCCTGTCACTTGTATGTGCCTGTCACTTGTATGTGCATGTCGCTTGTATGTGTCTGTCACTTGTATGTGCCTGTCACTTGTCACTTGTATGTGCCTGTCACTTGTACGTGCCTGTCACTTGACACTTGTATGTGCCTGTCACTTGTATGTGCCTGTCACTTGTATGTGCCTGTCACTTGTATGTGCCTGTCACTTGTATGTGCCTGTCACTTGTATGTGCCTGTCACTTGTATGTGCCTGTCACTTGTATGTGCATGTCACTTGTATGTGCCTGTCACTTGTACGTGCCTGACACTTGTATGTGCCTGTCACTTGTACGTGCCTGTCACTTGTACGTGCCTGACACTTGTATGTGCCTGTCACTTGTATGTGCCTGTCACTTGTCCCATATGAAACATGTGTCTGTCACTTGTATGTGCCTGTCACTTGTATGTGCATGTCACTTGTATGTGCCTGTCACTTGTATGTGCCTGTCACTTGTATGTGCCTGTCACTTGTATGTGCATGTCACTTGTATGTGTCTGTCACTTGTATGTGTCTGTCACTTGTCCCATATGAAACATGTGTCTGTCACTTGTATGTGCCTGTCACTTGTATGTGCCTGTCACTTGTATGTGCCTGTCACTTGTATGTGCCTGTCACTTGTATGTGCCTGACACTTGTATGTGCCTGACACTTGTATGTGCCTGTCACTTGTATGTGCCTGTCACTTGTATGTGCCTGTCACTTGTATGTGCCTGTCACTTGTATGTGCCTGTCACTTGTATGTGCCTGACACTTGTATGTGCCTGTCACTTGTATGTGCCTGTCACTTGTATGTGCCTGTCACTTGTATGTGCCTGTCACTTGTATGTGCCTGACACTTGTATGTGCCTGTCACTTGTATGTGCCTGTCACTTGTATGTGCCTGTCACTTGTATGTGCATGTCGCTTGTATGTGTCTGTCACTTGTATGTGCCTGTCACTTGTCACTTGTATGTGCCTGTCACTTGTATGTGCCTGTCACTTGTCACTTGTATGTTCCTGTCACTTGTATGTGCCTGTCACTTGTACGTGCCTGTCACTTGTATGTGCCTGTCACTTGTATGTGCCTGTCACTTGTACGTGCCTGTCACTTGTATGTGTCTGTCACTTGTACGTGCCTGTCACTTGTATGTGCCTGACACTTGTACGTGCCTGTCACTTGTACGTGCCTGTCACTTGTATGTGCCTGTCACTTGTACGTGCCTGTCACTTGTACGTGCCTGTCACTTGTATGTGTCTGTCACTTGTGTGTGCCTGTCACTTGTATGTGCCTGTCACTTGTACGTGCCTGTCACTTGTACGTGCCTGTCACTTGTATGTGTCTGTCACTTGTGTGTGCCTGTCACTTGTATGTGCCTGTCACTTGTATGTGCCTGTCACTTGTACGTGCCTGTCCCATGTACCAGATGAAGTGACAAGAGACTACGTACATGGTCAAGTCAGCCCTTCAGTCAGAGAGGTCAAGCTACTCCCCTGGTTCCCAGTTGACCTGACTTCAGTCTCCTTTGTCCAGAAGGAACCAGGTCAAGAATATTTCCAGGTCAGACAGGCTCTCTTTTACACCACCATAATGTATGTTTTCAATACAGGCTCTCTTTTACACCACCATAATGTATGTTTTCAATACAGGCTCTCTTTTACACCACCATAATGTATGTTTTCAATACAGGCTCTCTTTTACACCACCATAATGTATGTTTTCAATACAGGCTCTCTTTTACACCACCATAATGTATGTTTTCAATACAGGCTCTCTTTTACACCACCATAATGTATGTTTTCAATACAGGCTCTCACTTCTTTACATCACCATGTCCTAGCATTTCAACACCCAGCCCAGGTCCTAGTATGTCCTTCGCAACAAGAGTTTTATCATGTTCGATCAAAGTTTTTGGTATTTCCAAAGATGTTGACCACCAATACAAAAGGTGCTTTAGAGGCTGTTGTGGATCCTATGGCTTGAATTTTTACTTGTCTTTTTGTTTTCATCTGATAGAGTTACAGACACCATGAGACCTTGCCTGAGAAGGATTGGACATTTGCTGGCTTGCCTGCAGATAGAAGTTTGAAAGTTTTTATAGAGTACCAAGCTTTTCACCCCCACCTGACCCATCCAAGATTTGAGCTAGTCCACAACCCTTCTGATGCAGATATCCTGTGGTACACTTCACACTTTCATCAGTTTCAGTGAGTATACTACTTACATCACTCACTCACCTACCACATCACTCACTCACCTACCACATCACTCACTCACCTACCACATCACTCACTCACCTACCACATCACTCACCTACCACATCACTCACCACATCACTCACCTACCACATCACTCACTCACCTACCACATCACTCACTCACCTACCACATCACTCACTCACCTACCACATCACTCACTCACCTACCACATCACTCACATACCACATCACTCACCTACCACATCACTCACCTACCACATCACTCACTCACCTACCACATCACTCACATACCACATCACTCACCTACCACATCACTCACCTACCACATCACTCACTCACCTACCACATCACTCACCTACCACATCACTCACTCACCTACCACATCACTCACCTACCACATCACTCACTCACCTACCACATCACTCACTCACCTACCACATCACTCACCTACCACATCACTCACCTACCACATCACTCACCTACCACATCACTCACTCACCTACCACATCACTCACTCACCTACCACATCACTCACCTACCACATCACTCACCTACCACATCACTCACTCACCTACCACATCACTCACTCACCTACCACATCACTCACCTACCACATCACTCACCTACCACATCACTCACCTACCACATCACTCACTCACCTACCACATCACTCACTCACCTACCACATCACTCACCTACCACATCACTCACTCACCTACCACATCACTCACTCACCTACCACATCACTCACTCACCTACCACATCACTCACCTACCACATCACTCACTCACCTACCACATCACTCACTCACCTACCACATCACTCACCTACCACATCACTCACTCACCTACCACATCACTCACTCACCTACCACATCACTCACTCACCTACCACATCACTCACTCACATACCACATCACTCACCTACCACATCACTCACTCACCTACCACATCACTCACCTACCACATCACTTACCTACCACATCACTCACTCACCTACCACATCACTCACCTACCATATCACTCACTCACCTACCACATCACTCACTCACCTACCACATCACTCACCTACCACATCACTCACTCACCTACCACATCACTCACCTACCATATCACTCACCTACCACATCACTCACTCACCTACCACATCACTCACTCACCTACCACATCACTTACCTACCACATCACTCACTCACCTACCACATCACTCACCTACCACATCACTCACTCACCTACCACATCACTCACCTACCACATCACTCACCTACCACATCACTCACCTACCACATCACTCACTCACCTACCACATCACTCACCTACCACATCACTCACTCACCTACCACATCACTCACTCACCTACCACATCACTCACTCACCTACCACATCACTCACCTACCACATCACTCACCTACCACATCACTCACCTACCACATCACTCACCTACCACATCACTCACTCACCTACCACATCACTCACTCACCTACCACATCACTCACCTACCACATCACTCACCTACCACATCACTCACCTACCACATCACTCACCTACCACATCACTCACTCACCTACCACATCACTCACCTACCACATCACTCACTCACCTACCACATCACTCACCTACCACATCACTCACCTACCACATCACTCACCTACCACATCACTCACTCACCTACCACATCACTCACTCACCTACCACATCACTCACTCACCTACCACATCATTCACCTACCACATCACTCACCTACCTACCACATCACTCACCTACCTACCACATCACTCACTCACCTACCACATCACTCACTCACCTACCACATCACTCACTCACCTACCACATCACTCACTCACCTACCACATCACTCACTCACCTACCACATCACTCACTCACCTACCACATCACTCACCTACCACATCACTCACTCACCTACCACATCACTCACCTACCACATCACTCACCTACCACATCACTCACTCACCTACCACATCACTCACCTACCACATCACTCACTCACCTACCACATCACTCACCTACCACATCACTCACCTACCACATCACTCACTCACCTACCACATCACTCACCTACCACATCACTCACTCACCTACCACATCACTCACCTACCACATCACTCACCTACCACATCACTCACCTACCACATCACTCACCTACCACATCACTCACCTACCACATCACTCACCTACCACATCACTCACCTACCACATCACTCACTCAACTACCACATCACTCACCTACCACATCACTCACCTACCACATCACTCACTCACCTACCACATCACTCACCTACCACATCACTCACTCACCTACCACATCACTCACTCACCTACCACATCACTCACCTACCACATCACTCACCTACCACATCACTCACATACCACATCACTCACATACCACATCACTCACCTACCACATCACTCACTCACCTACCACATCACTCACTCACCTACCACATCACTCACCTACCACATCACTCACTCACCTACCACATCACTCACTCACCTACCACATCACTCACCTACCACATCACTCACTCACCTACCACATCACTCACCTACCACATTACTCACCTACCACATCACTCACATACCACATCACTCACCTACCACATCACTCACTCACCTACCACATCACTCACTCACCTACCACATCACTCACATACCACATCACTCACTCACCTACCACATCACTCACTCACCTACCACATCACTCACTCACCTACCACATCACTCACCTACCACATCACTCACTCACCTACCACATCACTCACCTACCACATTACTCACCTACCACATCACTCACATACCACATCACTCACCTACCACATCACTCACTCACCTACCACATCACTCACTCACCTACCACATCACTCACCTACCACATCACTCACTCACCTACCACATAACTCACTCACCTACCACATCACTCACCTACCACATTACTCACCTACCACATCACTCACATACCACATCACTCACCTACCACATCACTCACTCACCTACCACATCACTCACTCACCTACCACATCACTCACATACCACATCACTCACCTACCACATCACATTACTCACCTACCACATCACTCACCTACCACATCACTCACCTACCACATCACTCACTCACCTACCACATCACATTACTCACCTACCACATCACTCACCTACCACATCACTCACCTACCACATCACTCACTCACCTACCACATCACTCACCTACCACATCACTCACTCACCTACCACATCACTCACTCACCTACCACATCACTCACCTACCACATCACTCACCTACCACATCACTCACCTACCACATCACTCACCTACCACATCACTCACCTACCACATCACTCACTCACCTACCACATCACTCACCTACCACATCACTCACCTACCACATCACTCACCTACCACATCACTCACCTACCACATCACTCACCTACCACATCACTCACTCACCTACCACATCACTCACCTACCACATCACTCACCTACCACATCACTCACCTACCACATCACTCACCTACCACATCACTCACCTACCACATCACTCACTCACCTACCACATCACTCACTTACCTACCACATCACTCACCTACCACATCACTCACCTACCACATCACTCACTCACCTACCACATCACTCACTCACCTACCACATCACTCACATACCACATCACTCACCTACCACATCACATTACTCACCTACCACATCACTCACCTACCACATCACTCACCTACCACATCACTCACTCACCTACCACATCACTCACTCACCTACCACATCACTCACCTACCACATCACTCACTCACCTACCACATCACTCACTCACCTACCACATCACTCACTCACCTACCACATCACTCACCTACCACATTACTCACCTACCACATCACTCACCTACCACATCACTCACCTACCACATCACTCACTCACCTACCACATCACTCACCTACCACATCACTCACCTACCACATCACTCACCTACCACATCACTCACTCACCTACCACATCACTCACTCACCTACCACATCACTCACCTACCACATCACTCACCTACCACATCACTCACTCACCTACCACATCACTCACCTACCACATCACTCACTCACCTACCACATCACTCACTCACCTACCACATCACTCACTCACCTACCACATCACTCACCTACCACATCACTCACCTACCACATCACTCACCTACCACATCACTCACTCACCTACCACATCACTCACTCACCTACCACATCACTCACTCACCTACCACATCACTCACCTACCACATCACTCACCTACCACATCACTCACTCACCTACCACATCACTCACCTACCACATTACTCACCTACCACATCACTCACATACCACATCACTCACCTACCACATCACTCACTCACCTACCACATCACTCACTCACCTACCACATCACTCACATACCACATCACTCACCTACCACATCACATTACTCACCTACCACATCACTCACCTACCACATCACTCACCTACCACATCACTCACTCACCTACCACATCACTCACTCACCTACCACATCACTCACCTACCACATCACTCACTCACCTACCACATCACTCACCTACCACATTACTCACCTACCACATCACTCACTCACCTACCACATCACTCACTCACCTACCACATTACTCACCTACCACATCACTCACATACCACATCACTCACCTACCACATCACTCACTCACCTACCACATCACTCACTCACCTACCACATCACTCACTCACCTACCACATCACTCACTCACCTACCACATCACTCACCTACCACATCACATTACTCACCTACCACATCACTCACCTACCACATCACTCACCTACCACATCACTCACCTACCACATCACTCACCTACCACATCACTCACTCACCTACCACATCACTCACTCACCTACCACATCACTCACCTACCACATCACTCACTCACCTACCACATCACTCACCTACCACATCACTCACT